AGGGGTTCAGGGTCTCAGGGGTTCAGGGTCTCACGGGTGCCGCATTGGGGCCGGCGGACGCTCCGCGCACGCGCTGTCAGTCTCCGCTCCGCTTTTCCCGCCCGGCAGGGGTCGCTCTCGGCCCGCGCGGCGCTGCCCGAATGGCGGCTCCGCCCCGAGCACCCCCGGGCACCCCCGGGCACCCCTCAAACACCTCCAGGCACCCCCGGGCACCCCCCCTTTCCCCGGGCACCCCCGGGCACCCCTCAAGCACCCCCGGGCACCTCCAGCACCTTTGTTGTGCCGCGGTTCCGGGGGGGCTGGCCCGGGCCGGGGTGCCCGAGGTGTGCCCGGTGCTGCCGCCGCCACTCAGCCCCACCCGGGGCAGGGCAAGGAGCGGCAGGTCCTGAACTGGTTAATGCGATTCATGAACGGGTAAGGGGAATCGGAGTCTTCGTCGGTAGAATCTTAATAAGCCGTAAAGGTTATTTCTGAGCGCTCCAGTGACAATTGCCAGCCCTCGGTGTGGGCAGAGCCGCAGCCCGGGCCGATCCAGCCCGTACCGCCCGGGGCTGCCACGGCCGGGATGAGGAACAGCCACACAAACACGGGCAGCGGGGGCAGAGTCCAGGGAAGCGACCGCAATCGTGGACGGGCTTGCAGGGTTTTCATTCCGCAGTGCGAATGATCTCATTATCCTTGCGGGGTGTCAGCCAGCTACTTGAAAAATACTTATTAAAAACCACAGCAGCGCTAGGGAGAGGATCCCCACCAGGGAAGGGAGAACAAACTGGATGTGTAAAAACGGAAGGGGAAACAGCCAGAATGGCAACAAGGGTTTGGAACCTGCCCTGCTGTGTCCCCAGTGGAGGCTGAAAGGCCACGCTGCATCCCAGAGTGCACAGCAGTGTTTCAGTCTGCTCTGTCCCTCTAGCTCATGAAACCTCGTAGTGCGAGTGTTGGTGCATGTGGAAGCCCACCCRGCCAAGTCACACAGGAGCCAGCCTCTGACACTTCCATTGTTCAAACACCAGGTCAGCTGCCTGTCACCAGAACAGGCCACCCAGGGCTAGCCTGGTTTTGTTTAAACATCTCCTCCTGCGGTCAGTGGAAGGCACAGATGGGCAGGGAAATAACCCCACAGGTGTGCACAGTCCCCATGGCTGCCTCCTGCCCACTGCCAGTGCTGCTGGGTATTCATGCCATCATGGCACCATTCCCACTGCTGCCAACTGCATCTCAGTTTTCTGAATCTGTGGGTTAAGGACATGCACAAGCTGTGTAGGAGCTGTGATGTGTTCTTCTAAGGAACCAAGATCAGCAGGAAGTMGAAATTCTGCTGGAAAATTGAAGAACAAGTGAAAGGAAAGCAATGCTGCTTGAGTCTGGTCGCAGGACAGGAGGCATTCTGACTGGTTCACCTGGTTCTTACAGCTGCAGCCACTAAGTCCCTGCAAGAGGATTGGTGAACCTGGACAGCCACAGCAGCATCTCTGGGGCCTCCTCCTGAGCCAGCAGCGATGGTGGCAGTGGGTGGGAGGCCAGGGGAAAGCAAGGGGCTGAAGGGAGACAGAAACCAGAGGGAGCTGGGTAAATGGAAAGAGGCTCTGGAGGTGGCTAGCACAGGGAGAACCTCCACAGGGGCAGGAGGTCCTGGGGAAGCAGAAAGAGAGGCCCTCCCCTCCCCTCCCCTCCCCGTTAACCTTAAGTCTCTGGCCAAAAAGAAAAGAGTGTTCTAAGATAAAGTCTAAAACCAAAGGGAAACAAAGTTGAGACCATACTGCTGCTGCATAGAAATCTTCATTAGCCCTGTTGGCATAACAGTAATGAGAGGAAAATAGTGATGTGAGTGSTGTGAAGGGACTGAGTGCTGGGGGGGATGTGGTGCATTTGCCATCTTTTGATGTCTTCAAGCCCAGCCAAACACCTGTCTGAAGCTGCCTTAGACAAGTTACTGATTTCACAGTAACATGGTGAAATTTTCTTGACTGTCTGTACAAGAGGTCAGGCAGCCCAGTCCCTTCCTGCTCACTCTGGGAATCTGCAGGAAGGAAATGCAAAGGAGGATCATAAGAACATGATGTTATTTGTGCTCTTGGATAGGGCTTCACACCAGCACTGTTTCCTCTGGCTCCAGCGGTGCTCCACAGCATTGCTCAACCCCTCAGGTGGGCAGAGTTGAGGGCAGATCTGTCTGCAAGAGGCCACSTCTGCTGACCTTGCATAATTGCTTCTTTTTTTCAGATGTTTAGCAGCTGTCCCAGTCTCCAAGGTACGACACAGCCAGGTGGTCCTAACTTTGCTGAAGGTCTAGGGCATTTGCACCATCTTTCTCACAAGATCTCGCTGCAGTCTCAGCTGCTGTAGCTCTGTTCCTCCTCAGGTGCTAGAATGAAATCAGATGAGGATGGAGAGATGTATCTGTGGAAACATTTGCTCAGTGCCCAGGAGCAGCCCAAAAGGCAAACTTACTGTTAACAATTAACAGGAGAATAATGGAGAGCACATTACAATTCTGCCACTGAGCAGATCTGTAGTGAAAGCTGCACTGTGATTACCTTATGCAGCTCTGTCTGCCTCTCTCAAAAAAAAAAAAAAAAAAAGATTTGGAAGAGGAACCAGTATGATCAAATACAGAGAGTATTTTCCATGTGGAGAGAAAGTGGACATTCTCTTTAGGCTGGGAAAGAAATTACCGAAGAGGATTATAGTATCAAGTTAAACAAATAGAGATTGCCTGCAGTATGATTTCTCATCATCCCTTCACCATAAGAACTGGCAGCACCTCACAAATTAGCAGGAAATAACCACAAAGCAAAAACCAGGTCTTTAAAAAAATGTCATGTGCCATGTCAGACTGCTTCACACAGGGTATGGGGTGCCCCCAAAGCTCATATGCATTTAAAAATAAATTAAACATTTTAATGGGAGAAAAATACCCACTCACATGGAGTGCAAGACCCCATTTCTGCTTCTGCAGCCTGTGAGCTGGGGGTGGCTGAGGCTGGCAGAGTGTTCTGGCAGCACCATGGGATCCGTGGCCCCTATACCCCAGTGTGCATGCACCAACCAGACTCCAGCAAYCAACCATCACATTTCACTGTCTCCTCCAGGAACAAGCTACAGTGGAGAAACRGAAACCAGGGGTTTTTTGTATCTATACTGAAACTTCACAGTTGATTTTAAGCCTCTTAGACAGTATAATGCTGACTGCAAGTTCCTGCTGAGTGTTATCGACTGCAGCCTGGGCCAAGCTGTAGGGAACACCCTGAGCCATGTCTGCATGTGATGGAGTGCATCTCTGCACCAACAGTGTGACTCAGATCAGAAAGCAGCTTCCTGGGCTTTCCCACCAGCATCCTTTCAAGCTGCCATCCACAGCAGAGATCTGTGCAGCCAGGAGGTGACAGGCACCAGAAGCCTCAAACCACAGGAAGGGATTAGTGCAGGCTGCCCCTGTCCCCCACTGCCCCTGGCCAGGGGGACACGCTGCCTGTTGGGCTCTGGGGAAGGAGGGGACTTGCACTTCCCAGGGGCTTGCCTGGGTCAAGTGTGCTTGTAAGCAGACACCGTGGCAAACAAATTGCTTGTTCTTGCAGTGTAAATCCTAATCTGGTTCTCTTGAAGCACCTGCTGTTGTGGAGCTAAGGAATGTCTGCATGGTGGAATGCAAGGCTAAAGCTGAAGCACTRCAAATTAATTGAGAGCAGTGGTGTTTTATGTGATGGGACCACATTGAGGCCGCTGATTAYTTATAGTCAAGTCAGTCAGAACTGCAGCAGCATGGGTTGTGGGCAGGATGGGCAGAAGGGACAGTTTGGCCACTATGGGCCATATGGACAAGACACCAGAGCATCTCCTGGAGGTCAGGTGCTGTTCCTTATTACTTGAGGCAGTGTCTCTGCTTTGTCACATACTTCTATTCTGTGGCACACTGCTCTTTGCAGTGATCCAGATCTTCCATCTTTTTATCAAGGTAATTCCCCATCACCATTATTTTTGCATACCTTCTACCGCAAGAAGCTGAGCTGCAGTAACTGCTCAGCCAGCATGGGAACCAGCCAAATTCCATATTAGAAATGTGGTTTAAATGACCAGCCTGCTTCTACGTGGCGAGCAAGAACGCAGTGAGTGGAAGGGCCCCTACTCTAGTTTGGTAATGCTCCCCTATTTCTTGAGTTAGTGCAATATCAAAAATACAGACCACAACACTCTCCCTTTCTTACTTTCATTTTGAATTACAGATCTTCTACTGAAGACTCTCACTTCAAAAACCAGCCAGGTACTTTCTAATATCAAGCAAAATGCCTGAAGAATAAATTGCTTCTATCAGAAATAAAGCATTTTAGTTCTGCCGCAAGCAGAGAGATCTGTGTAAGTCCCTCCAAAGGCACCTCCATCTTTCCTGTTTTCCTCTCATTTTCTTTTGATGCACGATGCCTGCACACTGCAGTGCTGTGATTGGATTCAGCTATGGAGCAATGTAATTGTAAATATTCATTGGAATCCAAGCTAGTTTTCCCAAGTCTCTCTTAAAAGCTTTGCAGCTATACAAACAGCCATGGCTCTACATTAGCCTCACAGCCTGGAGATTACCTATTCCTCCCCAGCCCCAAAGTCTGCTCCTTCAGTGGCTGCATGGAGAGAAACCAACCTTGCAACCATTTTAGTCAATGTTCTATTATTTTCTTTATTGCCTCTTTTATGCCTGTGCTGTAGAACATCTCTCAGATACAGGCACCCAGTGGGGCTCACCTTGGGTTGCAGTTCCCCTTACTGTCATGGCTGTGTGTTTCAGTCCCTGTCTCTCTGCTGATGGTGACAGAGTGTGAATTGCTCTGAGTCCTGATATATGGTATACAGTACATGGTCTATGGTGTATGGTGTATGGTATATGGTGTATGGTATATGGTGTATGGTATGTGGTGTATGGTATATGGTGTATGGTATAGGGTATATGGTGTATGGTATATGGTATATGGTATATGGTGTATGGTATATGGTGTATGGTATATGGTGTATGGTCTATGGTATATGGTATATGGTATAGGGTATATGGTATATGGTGTATGGTATATGGTATGTGGTATAGGGTCTATGGTGTATGGTATATGGTGTATGGTATACGGTACATGGTAGATGGTATATGGTATATGGTACATGGTACATGGTATAGAGTATATGCTACATGCTATGTGCTATATGCTATATGGTATATGCTATATGCTATATAGTATATGCTATATGGTATAGGGTATTGTGCTTGTGACCGTTCCTCTCTCTGGGAATGCTCCATGGCTGCGCTCATACAGTGGGGCACAGCAAAGGGCAGCAGACTCCTACAGCCCCTGAGAAGCTGAGACAAGCTCTGTCCATCAGTCAGACCCTGCCCTTGYCTGCGCCAGCCCTGCACAGCCAAACTGCWTGTCCCAGGCTGATTGTGCTCTCCAGGTGATCTCTGACTGCAGCCATGTCCTGCACGACTCATTTGCAGGGCAGCACATGCAAGAAACTGCACACAGCTATTCTGCTGAGAAGGGAAATTGAATCCAAAAGTTCTGATACCAAATCTATGCACCCTTCTCTGCCTCATCCATGTCCATGTGTTTCCCACCCTGGATGGGACTCTGGCCAAAGCCTGTTATGATCTCCCCCAATCATACAGAAATAAAAACCAAAAATCCAAACCCCACAAAACCAGCCAGATCATAAAAAAAAAAAAAAAAACAACCGAAACCTCTCTAGTAGAAATCCCTGCCACACAATGCAGTAGCTACAAGAGCAGATAAAGTAATGAGGCCTTTCTAAAGATAACATGTCCCAGAGTTAAARCAGCTCATGGAGAGAAATGCCTTGCTCCTGTGGCATCTCCTGGTGGCAGCCACCCAAATGTTCTCTTCATTTCCTTTCCCAGCTCAAGGCCAGCTTGCCTTCAGAATGTGGTGAAGGAGATATCCCCAGGGCAAGTCCAGCCTCCAGCTGAAGGGAAGAAATGTGGAAAACTACATGGTCACAGAGAGGGGCTGGGCACTGAACCATGCCCAATGGCAGGAGCAGAAAAAACCAGTCCCTGGGGTCCCAGTGGGAATCCATCCCCTCTTCTCCAGATACAGCATGTGSCACCTTGGTCTCACCTGAGTGAGACCCCTCAGCAGCTGCCAGGGGAGGGGGTGCACCAGTGGACACACAGCCTGGAGCCCCAATCCCAACAGATCTCTGGTGTAAAACACAATGGTCCTTGCAGTGCATGGCCCTGGTGCAGAGGAGCCTTCGTGGCATGAGCTGGACRCACAGTCCTTCCCCTCCAGCTCCATCTTCCAAAACAGCCAGAGCACTGCTCTCCAGAGCTCCTGCTTGGATGATTTATCCAGGTCAYGGTGAGGACAACTGGCTAACTGAGGTTAACGGCTTTCTCGCTTTCATTTCAAAAAGACATTAGTATGGGGGCTGTATTAAAGAAAGATATGCCAAATCCTAATTCAGTCACTGGGAGAGCTCGTGGTCAGGTGGGGCACTAAGCTGACAAGCAGGGCTGTGTTGCCATCCTTTCTGCAAAGGGCAGGACCATAACTCCCGGTGCCAGTGTTGAATTAGAGCTGGCTCTCCTTGCAGAGGAATCCTGCTGCCTGCTGCAGGGACCCAGCASCCCCAGCCTTGGGAGCCTCAGGGCCCCACAACAGCTGGGGCTGGCTCCGAAAAATAGATTGGAGTCCGTCATTCTGGAAGAAGGATGTTGGGAAGAAAATATGACAGAGATGCATAAAATCAGAAGTGTCATGGGAAGGTGACTAARGAGTGACTGTCATGGTCTCTTCCAATAAAACAGTGGAATTTTTGAAGAGAGATGTTCAAAACAAACCAAAAGAGGTGGCTTCTTATCCAAGCATGGTCAAGCAGGGTAACTCACAGGACATTGCAGAAGCTGGGTCAGATCTGAGTTACAAAATCAGTTTGACAAGTTATGGATGAAAAGTCTTCAAGGGCTGTGAAACACAAAGGTTCACCCTTGGGCTCAGGAAGGTGGGTGAGCATCTTGGGATTATTTCACAAGCTTTCCCTGTTCTTGTCAGGGAAAAAGAGCTCTTTCCCAGACTGCTGCTCTTTCCCATAAGCTGCTGCCAGGCACAGAGCCAGGTGGAACTGTTCTGCCACAGAATAATGTTATATATTTATATAACCAGGCTTGATGCTCAGTACTTTAACTGGGAGGTTTGTAAGAGAAAGTTGAGAGCTAGGCTATTTTATCTGCCACTTTCACACTGAAACCAAGAGCGAGACTCAGCTGAATTTGGTATCAATGGATGAAGGGAAGGGAAGGG